AGGTTTTATGGGGTGGACCCAGGGAACACCCTACTTGAAGACCCTTGAGTGTGCACCAGAAGGGGCCTTTGCTGATGGTAGTGGAAGACGTTTAGGGAAGAGATGCCCTGCTGGGCAGACTGATTGAAGGAGTCAGTGACTGATTGGGAACAGATTGATGTGGGGATCAGCAGGCTCAGAGGGTCACCTTGTAACACAGCAAAAGAGGGCCTGTGAATGACGCTTGGTAGGAGGCAGTAGAGAGGGGTGCTGAGTGTAGCATCTGGGAGCCAATGGACTCCACTGAGAGGCCTAGCAAATCTGAGCTTGTAATGATCTAGCAGATCTAGCGGTAATGAACTTGACTGCCCTGGCTTTGTGAATGGTGAGGGCATGTTGCAGGTCCGTGGTTTGCCACTGTCTGGGTCCAGGTGGGGCATGGTGAAAGGTTTGGGATTGGCAGTTGAGTGGATGGACAGTGAATTTCCAGTCTCGGTACTTTTTGGATGATTTGGGACCCTGTGGAAGCTGGCTCATGGCCTTCCCTAGAACACAGTAATTGGCAGTTACTGGTAGGTTAATGATTTCAGGAGCTTGGGCCATGCCAGTGACTGGGGGATGGGGTAGGGGCATTCCCTCAGAAGGCCTCTGGCCATCCTGAGGCCCACCCCTTAGGGTTTTCTCAAGGTCAGTCCTGTCAGAGACTGAATTTGGGTGTGGAGAGTCAGACCAGAGACAGGTGTGTGTGTGTGTGTGTGTGTCCTGGTACTGATAGGAGATTGGGTATGGAGAACTTTTATCTTTGTCAGAAGAGTATAGCTGTGTGGAGTGCCTCGGATGTGCCTTGAAGTGTCCAGGCACTCCAATTAGGCACATGAGCACAGCCGACCCCCCAGCCTGAACTTCCGGAGGCAACAGGAAATGGAACAAATGTTTCTGGAAGCAAATCACATGGAGCGTGGGGGCAATGTCCAGTTGAACGAGACAGAGGTGGGACTGAATCCCCTGCTTGTTCCGTTACGAGCTGAGTGAGTGTCCTTAAGGCAGATTCTATTATCGGCTTGAAGCCTCACTGTCATTGTCGAAAGACGGGTATAAAAATGATAACGAGATGACAGGGTTGTATGAAATTCACTAGGGGTCTGACACTAGGCTCTGCAAACTTGCTAGCTCCCATGGCCCAGGCAGGCACTGGGGGCTTTGGGGAGCATGCCTTGATGGGGATGTCCCGACATCCTCCGACATTACAAGGTGGGAGAAAGAAGAGTCAAGATCAGCCCAAGACTGATCCCTAAGAGACAAAATTCAGACCTATCTCCCCACCGTTTGACCAGTTGTGACACCAAACCTTCCCTCCTGGGATGGGCTCTCCTCCTCCTCCGCTGGGTTCCATTAATTCATTGCCACGGCCCCATAGGACACACGGATAACACTCACGATCAGGGAGTTTAATCAGAGAATCTCACAGGGTACTTTACCGCCTTAGGATCAAGGTCACCTTAGCAGAAATCGGAGCACCTCAGGTTGTTGGTTGTTCCTCCATCAGGACGGCTTCTTCTTGCTCTTTGTTGCTGCGCCCCGCTAGGGACCTTCTACCGCAGAGCCCTGTAGGTTCTCGCTGCCACCAGGCCCTGGCAAGGGACTTCCTGTGCAAATGTTACAAGTCTTAGCTTTGTGGGTTGGCAGGTAGCACTGGTTTCTTGGTGTCCTGCTGTCTCACCCAGTTATTAATCTTGCACCTGTTACACAATGTGTCTTGCTGGGCCACTGTCTCACACTGTCTTCTGGGTTGCAGCCCGGTGTTAGTCCCAGTAGACTAGAGAAACAAATCCAGGGAGACTCATATGTGTATAAGGAAGAGCTTTATATACAAGAGCAGTTGAATATTGAGAAAACATCCCAACCCAGTCCAGATCAAGCTTGTAAGTCCGATATTAGCCAATATGTCTGATACCAATCTATAAAGTCCTCTTCAGACTCACACAACACATGCAGCGACGCATTGCTGGAAGATCACAGGCACGTGGTTGGGAAGTCTTGTGGATCCAGTGGCGTTACAAGCATCTCAGCACCAGCAGGGGTCTCCACGTGGCTCCTCCAGCTCAGGGCATTAGTTTAGTTCCATGTAGCTTGTCAGCTGCAATGTCTCCCAGGGAGTGAGCAGAGAGAGCGAGTGTCTCCTGCCTCCAGGGAGGAAGACAGGAGTTCCCAGAATCCTCATGAAAAGGCCATGCCCACACAGAGGCCTCATTGGCTATGACCTGATTGACAGGCTAGACTCCACCCCATTTACTCTTAATCCTGTCAGATTGACAGCAGATTATATGACTACCACAAACCCCTTCTTTCTGTCTGAGGGAGTTGAGAGGGCTGTCCTGCACCGAAGGGAGACATTGTCTATGTTCCCTGATCCCAAGTTATAACTTGCTACTTCCCTGGTAAACTCTATAATCGAGTATTGTCTGTGAGTTTTGTGTGGCCACGGCAACATATTGTCGAATTTAGCAGAGAAATAGTGCCATAGAAGAGATGGCTGGTGTTAGATGGCTTAAAAAAAAAAGAAGAAGAAGAAGAAGAAGAAGAAGAAGAAGAAGAAGGGTGGATATATGTCCAATCACCACCTCATAGGAATCAGCCCTGGGCAGATGGTCTTGACCTTTTCCTACCCCTTGTGAAGTTAGATGAAGTCTGCTGCCATCATTTTTAATAGGTGTCAGGAGTGGGATTCATAGCTGTGCTCCAGCTGCAGCATGGAACTTTGGAAGAGAAGGAACAGAGGGGTGTGGGGAAAAGAAACTCCTCTCTTGGATTAATTTGGTGATGAGCTGCAGTGGCTAAAAGAAAAGCAAGAGGTACTTTGCTGCAGTGAAGGAGAGAAAAGCCGCCTCTGGAGTGGCTTAGTGTGAAAGCCCGGCAGCTTAACCAAGAAGGCCAGTGTCTTCTGATTCCACCCAGCCAGGGCCTCAAGGTTCATGTGTTTATTGGAGTGGGCTATGGGAAATGAATGGTTTCTTTCAGAAGGGTCAGCACAGGGCTGGTTCCTGTGAGGCAGAGAGGTTAAAGATGCCCCAGATCTCCAGCTTTTCCAAACCACTGTACCAATCCATCAGCTATAACATTGCTTCCCAAACTTCTTTGGCCTACTTCTCCCTTTTCAGAAAGAGAGGAAAAGTAAATTGTTCAGCACCTTCCTGGCAATTAAAATACTTTTGTGCTGTAAGGTAAAGTATGAGTATCTGCTTCTGCAGACCTTCCAGATCATTCCAGGAGGCAGCGGTGCCTCCTCTGCGAGACACTGGTGTAGAGCATGAATAATGGCTCCCTCCTCAGTACTCTGTCTCCCTTTGGGTTTGTTAATTTGCTGCAGTATCCAACAGATGCATAAATCATGCATACAGCCAAGTGGTTCATTGGGGAAGGAGTAACGGTCCAGTTTGGGGTCAAGGTGAACTTGGAAGTAACAGGGACAGCTGAAGATGCAGTTCTTTGGTGAGGACAGCTTCATTTCGTCTTCTGCTGCCAGACCCTGTTGGAGGCCTTCTTGGGCGAGGGTGACAACTCTCAGAAAGCCACACTGCCATCATCTCCTCATGCCAGGCCGCTGGTCCCCGATGTAGCCTTTCCTGATCACGATCCCAAGTCGTCACCTGGTGACCTGGATCCCAAGTTAGAAGCAGGTTCTTCCCTAATAAACCCCACCCTCTTGAGTATTGTCTGCGGGTTCTCTGTGGCCAGTGAAAACATTATTCTACCCACAGAGAGCAGAGTGCACTGTGGGAGGGACAGCTGGTGTCAGACTGGGTTAAAAACAAAACAAAAGATTGGAAAATGGGGGTATGTATGACCTTCACTCCACAGGGATCAGCCTCTCCTCCGCTTCATGGCGTTAGACAAAGCGGCCTGTCACCACCGTGCCGCTTTTACACAGGGACCCCTGTCAGCAGGGCAGAGTTGGAAATGTAAATTAGAAAGGAAGCCGCTACCTCATCAAGTATTATCCCATGCCTGAGCTCCACTCCTCTGATCCCTACCTCATCTCCAATTCCCATTCTCGAGGGAGAAGTGTGTAAATAGGAGTTGGGGGTGGGTGGGTGGAAGAGATCAGGGTACATGTACTTCATACTGTAACTGGTCACCATGGTTCATTGCAGTGGAGTAGATTCCACCCCATGGCGACTCCCATGTGCACAGAATGGAACTGTGCTCCCGAGGGCTTTCAGGGTGGTGACCTTTCAGAGCAGGTCCGTCTTTGCAGACACCCCTGGTTAGGTTGAATCACCAACCCTCTTAGCCAGGAGCCAAGCGCTTAACCATTGGCACCGCCCAAGAACAACTCATTGCTAATGAGTCAATCCTGACTCACAGCAGCCCCGTGTGGTGCAGTAGGACTGCTGCATAGGGCGTCCCAGCCTGGAATCCCCCAGCCAGCAGACATCACGGCTTTCTGGGCAGCGCGGTGGGTGAGTTAGAGCTGCCAGCCTCTCAGTCAGCAGCTGAGCCCTTAACCACTGTCCCACGAGGATGTCTGACCCAGGGACTCGCAGCTCCATAGAGGCTGCAGAGCTGCTATTAAACCTTCATAAAGTCGAGTCCAAATCTCATGGTCTTTTTATTTTAATCAGACTGATCACTCCAAACCAAACCAACCAAACGAGCTCCCTGCCATGAAGTTCATGCTGACTCGTAGCGGCCCTATAGGACAGGGTAGAACTCCCCCGTGGGTTGCCGAGACTGTACCTATGGGAGTAGAAAGCCTTGGCTTTCTCCCACCGGCTTGTAACTAATTACCTTGCGATTTGCAGCCCAATCCTTTAACTCCTACACCAACCACCAGGGCTTCGAGGGCTGCAGTGTTTAACACCAGTTCTTTGACCTCTAGGAAATGTGTGGAATAAATGAATGGCTGACCTTGTGGCCATTGCCCTTTTAGAATATCTTGGTGTCTCAGCAAAGTCTTGCGTCCTTGCGGTTCCAGGGTCTCCCTTCTCAGCCTCACTTGCTCCTCCCGCCCCTGCAGCTCTGATTGGTGCCTCCATGGACGTTCCCAGCTTCATGGGGAAAGCGGACTTGGCAGCAAGCGAGACCAGGAGTTGCAGCCGGGAGAAGCCATGCTGTCCGGCGTGGGTTTCCCACAGAGGCTCCAGTTCCAAGATCCCGAGGAGCAGGACCTATCGTGGAGGGTAAGTGGGAGCAGCCCAAAGAACAGCTGTCCTCCGGCACGAGAGGGCAGGCATAGGGAGGTTCTGAGTTCTGTGCCCCTGAGGTCGTCTTGAGCCCTGCTGACATAGTGGTGGGTTACACGTTGGGCTACTAACCACAAGGTCAGCAGTTCGAAACCACCAGCCAGCTCTGTAGGAGAAAGATGAGGCTTTCTACTCCCATAAAGAGTTAGAATCTCAGAAACCTGCAGGGACTGTTTTACCCGGACTATAGGGTTGCTGTGAGTCAACATAGACTTCTTGGCAGTGAAGATTTTTTTGTTTTTGTTTTTGAGACCCTTTTATGTTACTGAAGGTGCTACAAAGGGAACCAGGAACCAGCTGAGGAAGGAGGGTCGGTTGGGATGGGGGTGGGCTCTCTTCAGTAAACTAGATGCTTGGTCTGGGTGGGCATTCCCAGCCACAGGCAGGGGAATGGCATCGGCTCAGCTCCTTCATCCACGCTGCGTTATTGCAGATTTATCTCTGATCCTTGGTCTTTGGAGATGGGCTCATTTCTTCTCTAGGCTTAAAAGCTGCAGGGAATTATTCCCCCTTTTACCCGTAGCGTCACAGGAAGTAGAGTAAGAAGAGTAGGACTGCTGGTTTCTCCTGTTTAAAGGAGGAGCCCTGATCTTAACCTGGACAGGAGAGACAGAAGGAGTGCTCCTGTTTAAAAAAAGAGCAAAAATCCCAAGGATACTGCTTCCCCAAAGGCCAACCAAGCTTAACATTTGGAATTTCAACCTTCTTGCTTCCCTGTGGGGGACCAGCCTCCCCACAACTGAATAGGTCCAATGGGGCGGTTGTGTGATTGAGGGGTAAAATCAAAGAGACAGACAAGGCATGCAAGGGCTCACGTCTTCTGACAGAGACTGAAACCAGAATGAGAGAGCAGTGTACTCTCCGGCCTTACATAATCTCGGGCATGCAAGCCACGGTAAGTGCATACGTAACGGGAAGGGGTTGTATTAGAGGCATACATGTAATAGGACGGGGACCAGCTAGAGGTATACATGCATTAGGAAGGGGAGGTACTACCCTGTTTCCCCGAAAGTAAGACATCCCCCTAAAATAAGACCTACTTATAGTTTTGCCTCTCACTGAAATTTAAGGCATCTCCCCGAAAATAAGACCTCCCCGAAAATAAGGCCCCCCCGAAGCTACCATAACTCTGGACTCTGGACCGTAGCAGCAGGCGCCACCGCGCAGCTCACTGTTGGCCGCAACGCAGCCGGAGCAGACAGGAAGTGCAAGGTCTCTTTTAATAAAACCATAAATAATAAATGTGTACTGTATTCTTCTTCATGGAAAAATAAGACATCCCTGAAAATAAGACCTAGTGCATCTTTGGGAGCAAAAGTTAATATAAGACATTGTCTTATTTTCGGGGAAACAGGGCAGAGGCATACATGTGACAGGAAGGTACATAGGTAACAAGATGAGCGGCTTCTTGAGTCAAGATGGCGGCCTCACCTTGGT